CCTTCCCTGCCTTGCTTATGAGCTGGTTAAAAACAAAAATAAAAAATGTCAACTTAAATCTCTATTTTACTCAATTAAAGTTTAATATCCACATAAATACGACGAATATAATTTTAACCACTAATGAAATGTTCCATTGAATGTTATGGAATGCAATAGTTAGAAATATAATAATTCAGAAGTCTAAGGTATTCCAACATTAAATTAATTTAAGTTAAGCTTTTTTAAAAAAAAAACGACTTGATATATTTAAAAAAAATGTGGTTTTATTGTCATAACATTTGCTACTAACAGTTTTGCTAATAATTGGCCTTAGCGTACGACAAAAATTGAAGTCTTTGGCCTAAGCCTTGGCCTAAAATCTTGGCCTAAGCCTTGTCCTTGTAATTTTTGGCCTTGGCCTTGAAACGTGTGGCCTTGGCCTTGCTACTTTTGGCCTTGTTAACAATTCTTCATAAGCATAACCGAGGTTGTTTGGAAAACTTCATTTGAATGAAAAAAAAAGAAATGCGTATCTTATAAGTCGAGAGCTGTACGTACATATTTTATTTTGGAATAATATTTTTTTCGAATAATATTTTAGTATATTTTGAGGCGAAAAAATCATAAATGGGCTTAGTGGTCTGTTGATTCTCTACAGAAAAGTTATCAAAATAAAAAAAATTTAAAAAATTGTAAATTCGTCTTTTAAAAAGTACTTGACGCATTCTTTCCGTTTGGGTCTTCAGAGCCAAAAAAAATAAATAAATAATATGTAAGGGACGTATATAATAATTATATAAAATAATATATAATAAGTAATATATAAAATAAAAAGTAAAATAGTAAGGAAAAATAAAATAGTAAAACAGATAAGAACTTAAATAACTTTAAAAACCAAGGACAAATCATAAAAACAAATATATATTTTTATTTAAAAATCAATGTTTACTTTATAATACAAAAATTTGATTGGTGACACCAAGGATTGTTTTATATGTTTTAGTGACACGTTTTAATAGAAAGTAAAACTATTAAAACGTGTCACTAAAACATAAACTTGTGACAATAAAATTTAGTTACTATTAGAGAGTATACGGTAATCAAAATAATGAATACTAAAAAAACATCCTAAAACAATATAACTAAAACATACAAGACTTGAAAAAATGAAAATCATAAGCAAGTTGAAATTAAAAAAAATTAAAAAATCCTATGATTAATTATTTTTTTATATAATAAAATTAAAACATAATAGTTTTAACCAAATTATGTTAATTGTAAATGATGAAATCTAAAGATATAAAACTATAACTAAACACGAGAAGTAACCCCACCATTAAAATATAATACCTGCTTTAAAATAAGCTCTGCGCTTGTCATTAATTTTTTCACAGAACGCAACATTAAAATCATATTTTAAAAAGTTTGGAAACTTGCGTATTGTAAGTTCTGTAAAATTGCAGGTTAGCAGATTCTCGAATTGAATTGATTCCGGATTTCTAGAGTATAAGTTTTTAAATTTCATTTTTTTACCTGTTATCAAATGAAACACAGCTGGATCAACGCCAACTTTTTTTGAAACAGAAAGCTTCGAAGAGCTTTTTTTTTCCTCATAGCGAATCATTCACCAACTTACGTCTTTCATAAAAAAGGCCTAATTATTTTATTTTTCATTTATTTATAAACTACAAATAAATAAATTACAAATAAAATAATAACTGCTTGAGCAACTTTCTTCATGTGGGTGCTGTTAAGACTATATTAGTAATCATATTTTCAGACTTCTTCAGAGGGTATTATAAAACAGAAGATATTATGAAAATTTGGGCAAAATAAAAGTTTCAAAATAGAATATATATTCAAAAGTTAGGCATTTAAGTTTACTGAATGGTCAAACACAAGCTGGGAATGTCTAAAAGAAAACTGAAGTAAACAAGAATAACATAGTAATAGTCATAAAACAGCTAATTAAGTAAATCACAAATGTTTAGTTATTATAATTCCATTAAAAATTTTGAAACAATTAATAATAAAATTACTGTTATTGTAGAAACGCCAAAATTGATCTCAGCTATACAGAGCCGTCCTGAAGAGGTCTCTCATGGGGGTGGTGGTGGTAGGGGTGTATGTGTTTTTTTCCCAACTAGAGACAAAAAAAAAAAAGTTCCTCAATATTTGACATTCGTCAATTATACTTCAAAAGTTGTCAGCTGAAATGCTATATGTGCCAACTCAAATGCATATATAACAGCTTTGTGGAAGGGGGATTTTACACCCCTTACACCCCCCGCTCGGGACAGCTCTGCAGCTATGTCAGTATTTTATTTGGGATACAAATTTCTGTTTACTTACTTTCTATTTTTGTGCAACGTTGTTAGCTTTTTAGCAAAATCTTTTTTTAATCCTATAATATGAGTATTATAGATATTGTAAAAATATCTAGAATACTCATACTATAGCATGACACAAAATTATATTTTATGAACAAACAAAAAAGGTAAATCAATATATGTTTATGTTTAATTTCTACTTTTCCAAAAGTGTATGGTTTCGATGAGTTTGCGTTATTGAAGATTTAAAGCCATTTTTATAAATAGAACTATTAGTAGAATAAACTTACCAACAATAACTCCATTTGCTAAACAGTTGTATATTCAACTCTAACAGAATCCTAAAAAGTAAAAAAAGTTTTATACAGAGTTTGAGTTGATCTTGTGCAAAGTAAATTTTATAACATATAAACCTCAGTTTCATTTGTTATGTTTACCAATTTCTCATCTTTTTTCTCCTTGAGAGGTGAGCGTTTCTTCAAAAAATAGTTATAGATAAGTTAAAAAGGACATTAATCAGGAATACTATCAACACAATCTTTAACCAAAAAAGCTATTTGTATAATTTGCTCTGCAAACATTATAGATAGACATTCTGCATAAGTGTACATAAAAATATGCTAAGTTGCTTTAGGACTTGTTTTAAAAATTTTAATACAAACAAAAAAATTCATCTAAAACATAAAGAAATATTCAATACAACAAAATCATTCACAAGATAGTTTAACAAGTGAGTCACAACGACAAACATTCTTATGACGAATATGGTTAATGTTTTTGTCAACAGAAACTTTGTAATATTTTTGAACTTCAAAAATATGCTTACCTAAATAATGCTCAAAAACAGTTTCTCACAATAAGGAATATTAATTTACAACCTTTATGTAAACTTTAAAAGTTAACTCCTTTAAAATTAAAATTATGAGAACATAACATGTCATCCAAAACGTCAATGCAATTTTTGTCTATAATATTAGAATTAGAAGCTTGAATGTTACATGTCGTTTAATATGAAAATTGATCTATTACTTGAGTTGATATTTCTTGAGTACTGTTTAAAAAAGATAAAATAATGTCGTTTAAAATAGAAAAAATAGAACTAGAATGACAACTATTAAACCAGAAAAAAAAAACATTGCTTTCATAACACCAAACTCTATAGTGCAGATTATCAACAACTGTTCCATTTACACAATAAAAAATTAGGCAGTCTTATTAATGGTGAAATATCTAAAAACCCTTCAACCATATTAACTTGAAAAAATATCTGTATTGCTTCTAAAATTTATACTAAAATCAGAAAATGGGTAAGTGAGACATTTTAGAACTCTTTTTCCTCCAGAAGAACACCAATGGCAACCATTAAAACCATTAAATTGCCCGCAACAAAAAACCAAAGATCTCGCTATTGTATCACATGAAAAAATAGATAGATGAAAAAAATTTTTTCATCTATCTATCTATCTAAAAACATTTCATACTATTATAAATTTATCTATCTAACTTACTATATTATTATTATTATTATTATTATTATTATTATTATTATTATTATTTTATTATTAGGAAGTTTATTTTGTCATAGTTTGTAATATAACTTTTAATTGGTTTGTAAGTTTATGTGTCCGTTAATTTTTTCTCTGTATTGTCTTCAGTTTTTAAATTTATTTACCAGAGTTTTAATTGTAAATTAAATCTTTTGAAAATCTAGTAAGACTACGAAACATGTCAAGAATAAAAAATACTGTGATTTTATTAAAATTTATATATATTTGTATATATATATATATTTATATGTATATATATGTATATATATATATATATATATATATATATATATATATATATATATATATATATATATATATATATATATATATATATATATATATATATATATATATATATATATATATATATAATATATAAATATATATATATATATATATATATATATATATATATATATATATATATATATATATATATATATATATATATATATATATATATATATATATATATATATATATATATATTTATATATATGCCGGCCCTAGCCTTTTTACCGCCCTCGTGGGAAATTTATCCTGCCGCCCCTGAAAATTTTATAAACGTGCTGGTAAATTACATGGAAAATAATAACAAATCGAATTCAAAAATAATACTTTGCAATAAAACGCTACATACATAGAAACATTTTTTGTTTATGTTTTACACAAAATTCATTTAATTTTTTAAATTAATCTTACGAGCCTTCTTATCACCAAAATCTTTGATTAGGGTTGAAAAATCAAGATTTTCAGCAATATTCTTTTCAATCGATAGGGTTCCTAAACTTGAAAGTCTATCCTGCGACATTGTTGACGGCAGATAGGTTTTTATTAGTTTCATTTTGGAAAAGCTTCTTTCTCCACTCGCTACAGTGACAGGTATTGTTAGCAAAATTCGCATTGCAATCCATGTGTTTGGATACAAATCTTGCACTTTGTGCTGTTTTATAAAGTTTAAAACAATAATAGGAGTAATTTTATCCTTGACCATTTCAGAAAGAAAAGGTTTAATGCTCATCAGTTCATCGCAAAGGAGAATACCATAAATGTCCGATTTTAGATTTACGGTAAGTTTACTTTGAAGAGCTAAACATGATTTTAGAATTTCTTCTCTTTTTTGCAAACTATCGACATTTTACAAAGAACCCCAAACTTCGGAATAATTCTCCAACTGTATAAATCTTTCTCTCATTGAAATTAAAGATGTGTCTAAAAGAGGATTGAAGAAATCGATTTCTATTTTTTTTTCAGGAGAAATTAAATAAATCCCATCTTGGGCTGGTTCGTCAAAATGGCGATTCACTCGTATTATTCTTTTAAGTGGTTTAAAAACAGGCTCCACTTGTAATTCTATAGCCAAATCTTTTGCTTTTATAATTGCATCTTTAAAACCGCATTTTCTATAGTTTTCTAAAAATGAACAACAGCTTTTCAATAACTTTGCACATTGAATGATGTCCATGTCTTTTTCTTGAATAGTTTTACTAACACTATTGACTTAAAAAAGAACGTCATACCAGACAATTAAAGAGACAAAAAAGCTAAAATCTTTTAATTGCTCTCCTAGAGTTATCTCTTCATGTGCAGTTTCAGGATTACATCCTTCAATTTCTGACAATGCTATCAAAGCGTCATGTACATCACCAACTTGATAACGAACAGCTTTAACACTACTTATTTTTGCTTCCCACCGCGTGTCACAGAGTTTCTTTAAATGCAAAATTTTAACATGATCAATTAAAATTTTCCATCGGCTCACTGAAGCTGAGAATAGAGTAAACAATCTCTGAAGAATACCGAAAAAAAGCTATAGATTTTACTGAAGACCGTGCAGAGTCACTTATTACCAAGTTTAAGGTATGGTTGCCGCAAGGAACATATAATGCTAAAGGATTAAGATTTAAAATCCTTTTTTGTACACCATTAATCTTTCCTTTCATATTTGATCCATTATCATACCCTTGACCTCTGCAGTTAGAGATTTCAAGTCCATGCTTAGTTAGCAACTCGATTAAAACCTCAGTAAGTCCTAAGCCTGTAGAATCAGAAACAGAAAAGAATCCTAAAAAGTACTCTTTAATTTTCACTCTTATGTCTAATGACAAGTCAACAATTCGAATAGTAAGAGAATGTTGTTCTTTTCTAGAAATATCAGGTGTACAATCAGGAATGATTGAATAGTAAACGGCTTTCAAGACTCGGTTTATTATTTCATCATTAACCTTTTGAGACATTAAATCTATAAGCTCATTTTGAATATTTTTCCCGCAATAATGGTCTGAAGTGTCACCTTTTATTGCAAGTGCTAAATGCTTTTGCATCACAGGATCAAATTTTGCAAGCATCTGTATTAGTCCTAAGAATTCGCCGTTTTGAGGCGTAAACAGTTTATCCGAACTCCCTCGAAAAGCCATATTATTTTCAGCTAGGTAAAGAGTGATATTCATCAGCCCAAGAAAAACATTTTGCCATCGCAAACTGTCTTTTTCTATAATTTTATTTTCTTCATTATCTATAGTTTTTCCAGTTTTTAATCTTATTTCAGTTTCTACCCACTGTTGATAACATTTCATATGAGAGACGCTGTTTTCATGAATTCCCAATGTTTCAGTTAAATGTCTCCATTTCTTGAAACCATCAGAGACTAAGTTTGACTTTGAATTATTATCAAAAAGTAGACAGCAAAAACAAAATACGGAGTTTTTAGAATCTGAATAAACCAACCATCTACGGCAAAAGGTTTCTCCATTTGCAAGCTTTCTATTGTAATAAATGCTAGAAAAATGTCGACCATTTCTATCTTCAGGGTATTTTTTCTTTGTAATTTGAAAAGGACCAAGTTTGATTAAATGGTCCACAAAGTTGCTAGATCGAACAATTGGCCAATTTCCACAATCCAATAAATTAGGTGTTTCTTGTAAAAAATCTTCCGATAAATCATTCGATTCTTTTAAAATAACTGGTTCATTATCTACTTCAATTTGCAATGAAGTTATACAACTATTTTTGAGTATTGTTGAAGGTTCTCCAATTTTATAGGACATAGTCGTAGAGATAGTTGAAGCATCAGGGTTAAAATCTTCACGACCTTCGTCAGGTTTTTTATAAGCAACATATCTTTTAACGCTCATGAATTTTTTAATTTTTTTTAAATTTTTGATCTTTAACGGACATTCTTTTTCTGTACTCATAACCAGACAACTTTTTTCTCGAATTTGAAATTTTATGTGACATGAGACAGAATATTTTTTAAGATAAAATTATTTCTGCAATTTAAAAAAAAAAAAAAATTAACAAAGTTCTCAAAACACATTCATAAAATTATTAAAGAAATAAAAAAAAAGTAACTATACTTACTGAAAATTGTTTAAATCGAGTCAACTTAACATTTAATAACAAAAAAAAAAAACTTTTGAACTTCTTTATAAAAAAGTTTTTGCAACTTTTCGAAATGACTTCTAGGGGAAATAACGCACAAATGATACTACAAATTACAATAGAAAATCGTGCGTTAATTAAGTAAATGTAGTAATTTTTTGTCTTCAAATTTAAAATTGTGTTTTTTTTTGCAAAGGTCGTTAAAGCTTTTAATTTACTTTAAATTTTTAATATACTACTGGAAAATTAAAACTTTTGACTAATAAAATTCTCCGCCCCTATTTACTTGCCGCCCTCGTGCAACGCACGACCTCGCCCCCCCCTAAAAACCGGCGCTGTATATATATATATGAAGGGTGCAAGGGGAAAACCAGTGATGTCACGTTTTTTTCATTTTGAGAAAACGGAAAAATAAGGTTTGAAGACTTATATTACATGCTATGACCAGCTCCATATATATTTGTATAGTTTTTAAATTAGTACGATCTATTACTTGATATATTGGCATAAAATTTTGAAATGTGAATGTAAGTTATACATGCTGCATTGAATCTTGGATTCAGTGTCATTTTTGGACATCACTGGTTATCCCCTTGCAATTGGATTTTTTTTAATTTAGAAACCAAAGCAATGTTTAATTTTTTTTATAATACATTCAAATGAATGACTGTTATGTTTAATTTTAAATTTTTTTAATTCAAATAATAAGCACTGTCAGGGAAAGCAAGAAGGTGCAAAAAAAAAAAAAAAACTCCAAAAGGGATTTATTATCACATACCGCCTATAAGTTGTTGTATAAGCTTTTCTGTAATATTATGTTTAAAAAAAAATATGTATTAAATTTATTTGGTTAATCCATATTTCAACAACTTTCCACCCCTAGTCTAAAATAATGAATTATCTAACACAATTTTGCTTTTAAAAAAAATGTACGTTAAAGAGTGTAAAAGAATTCGATTTTATTTTAAGATTTATAATACAAAAATGATTACTGTTGAAAAATCAAGTCTTTTTTAATATATTTTTAAAAATATACTACTATGTTTAAAATAATATAGTAATAAATATTATGTAAAAACAAAATTTAGTATGACTTCAAAATAAATTTATCTTTTTCCTTTAATCACTAACTGTTACAGTAATTTAAATTGACTCATATTCAGACAATTCTGATACTAATTCATCATCACTTAACTGACCTTTGTAAGGCAGGTCGTTAAAAAACTGCTGGGCCTCTGGCATGCAAAAATATTTTAGAACTTGAAGGTCCGCATACTTGGCACAGCTGATCGGCAATCTCTCGTTGTACAAACGTGTGAGGGGTTTTCGCAATAACTGCTTCTTTTTTCCTATAGCTTTTGTTATGACAACTCTTTCAAAAGGTCCATTCCAATTAAATCTGTATTGTAACACAGTAGGAAAATCTTGAGAGAAAATTATTTCACGTATAGGACGTGTTGATATTGGACATTTAACTTTGTAAAATTGTTTCATATGATCAGAAAAATTAAAGAACATTTTCAGTTCCATCTTGATAATTTTAAATGGCGAAAGTTTCTCACGACAGGTATGATATTCTTCCATCCAATTTACTGGTAGCTCTGCTCGAACCTTCTGATTAACTAACACCATATCTCGGTCACACTCCATGTAGCTGTGGCCTCTTATTGGGAAAGATATCTTTATTTCGTGAAACCGTTTTTTATTCACAACATTGAAGTGCAAAAAACGAATAACAGTCCAGTTCTTATTTTGCCCAGCACAGGAATCACAAAAAAGCTGCAAATGAGATACATCTTTTGGTATAATGTCTTCAAAATAGTACTCCAGCATACTCGCTACATTGTCCGCTCCTTTTTGCCCATAAGTTTCATCGTAACAAAACAAGTGAACACTATTTGACCCTAAGCAGTGTATATTAAATGTGTACATAGAGAGCTGTCTACGATAATAAACATCATTTGTAGAAACATTAGGACAACTCATATTCTTCGCAAAGTCAAAAGCAAGAGCTACATGACCAGTTTTTAAATTACTACGTGCTTCTCTCTTTCTGGTATAAAACATTTCTGCTTTTCGCAAATGAAGTTCTTTTTCGTGACTAGCTTTGATGATCTGATGATCTGCAGCAGTGTCTTGATTTTCAAGTATAATATTGAGCTTGTCGCATGTTGAGCAAGTATCTTTACGAGGATAACCAAAGCTGATGTTAAATTTTTCTGCAAATATTTTCCTGATAAGAAAAGTAGACAATTCGATAATATGAAATAAAACTCATAAATAAGCAAATAAATGTTATCAAAGTACCTGTAGCTTTCACGACAAACTTTATTTTGTGGGAAACGCTCTTTGCACATATTATACATTTTCGATATATTAAGATCCTCTGGCAAATACAACTTTCTAGTTTCATGCAAAGCATAATGACTTTGGCGTCCTTTAAAAGATTTGATATGATCAATGATACTATTTACAATATTCTCTGAAAAGGCGAGAGGTCGATTTGTATGTTTTCCTTGCTGGTTTAAAGGAGGAACTCCTTAAAAAAGTCAAATGTACAAGCTTATTATGTTTCTATGTTTTAACTTGATTAAATCAAATTTTATCATAATTTATAGAGGCTTAAATTCAGACAAAGTCTTTTCTTTTATAAAAGATAAATTTGTGTGTGTATTATTTATTCAAATGAATAATTAGTACTTAATACTGCATGTTAATAATGTTTATTTATTTTTACTAACCTGTCTTAACAAGAGATCCTCTTATTCTTTCTATTCTTGATTTTCCAATGCCAAATATTGATAAGATAGCATTGATACAAACTGGAACTCTTACGATATTATTACCTCGTGCCACTTTGATATAATAAGAGAATGAATGATCACGAAGAAACCTTTTTTCTTCTTTTTTCCGAGGTCTTCTTCGTTTAATACTTAAAACATTAATCATTGAAGCAAGAAAACTGTCTTGATGATCTTTATTTTGCATTTTATTAAAGTACAACAGTAAAAACTCCCTTTCTTCAACTGTCGTTTCTTCAAAACACTTATACCGTTTGCAATAACACGGAAAACCAATAACATGTGATGATATTCGTTCATTTCTATTTCTTTCCCACTTTCGACCATGTTTTTTTTCTTTTTTGGAATTTCTGATATATCAGGATACTGACATTTGTCCGCCATTTCAGCAAATATAAGAGTATTATGTTTTTGGCGAAAACAAATCCGATTGGCTGAAAAGTAGCAAAATTCCTATTCTGAGCAAAGGGTTTTGGACATCTCCGGTTTACCCCTTGAACAATTTGGACAGCTCTGGTTTACCCCTTGCGACCCCTTTTTTTAAATAAAAATTTAGGTGTGATTTAACTTTTTTTTTTTCATGTCCATTTGTGTAAAGATGCAGAAACTTATCTTTAACATAGCTGGGATAATTACTCAAAAAATGTTAAAATGTGACATCACTGGTTTTCCCCTTGCACCCTTCATATATAAATATATATATATATATATATATATATATATATATATATATATATATATATATATATATATATATATATATATATATATATGTATATATATATATATATATGTATATATATGTATATATATATATATATATATATATATATATATATATATATATATATATATATATATGTATATATATATATATATATATATATATATATATATATATATATATATATGTATATATATATGTATATATATATATATATATATATATATATATATATATATATATATATATATATATATATATGTATATATATATATATATATGTATATATATGTATATATATATATATATACATATATATATATATATATATATATATATATATATATATATATATATATATATATATATATATATATATATATATATATATATATATATATATATATATATATATATATATATATATATATTTATTAGAGCAGGCCATAATCTCAAAATTTTAAAAATAACACGTGGCTGCATAAAAAGTTGTTTCATAATATTAGGCACTTCAGTCACGTGACAAATTCCGTAGACAAAATTTACGAAGTTTTTTATATATAAAGATGACTTTTTCAGATAAAATTTAGACCGATTTTTTTAACCTATTATGTCACAGTAAAACGTTTTACGAAAACTAAAATGTTTAATCTTTCATAAAATATCTGCTAGAATTTTTAATAAAAGTTTATCTGGCTGTAGGAGCGATTTTAGTTAAGTTTTTGTAATTATTTTAGGTAAAAATTATTTTATTTGCGTTCTAGCATCCTTTAAAATAATATATAACCAAATTTTTTTTTCTTCTGTTTTTTTTTTTGTGGTTTTATGATGAATAAGTCGGTCTAAAATAACTTTGAAAAAACTAAGTTTTTGCTCATATTAGCAGCGGATATTCAGCTTATATTTTAAATTTAAGTTAAAACTTGCTAAATCCCATCCTCTTCTTCCTTTCAGTAAAATTATTTCGGTAACTTGTTTACAAAAACAGTATAATAATTTATTTGTATAAAATTAGCCTTATCAAAATGAATAATAAAGAATTGTATGATTGGTATTTATGCTTGAATGATAAATCTATGAAAATGGTGTGCTCGAATTTCAGAAGCCGATTCTCAAATTTTTTTCCAGTAACTGAAAACAATTTGAGCTTGTACAACAAAATTAAAGTTGTAGTAGATAAATGTAAATCGTTATAAAAAACAATAAAAGAAGAGATGTATATAAGCTCTTTGTAAGATGTATATAATGCTCTTTGTACCGCCTATTTCGGAAATTAATTGTGAACTAT